TAGTGTGTTGCATTAAGGAATATATGTATTGCGAACACAAAGGCAGAATTTTCATTTCCTTGAAAGAGTCTCTACATGAATCTCTTTTCTTTAATCCCATCATAATCCTTATAATTTTCTTTTGGATCATAAAAAGTTTCGTCATGTATGAAGAATTGCCCCAGAAGATAATTCCATATGTCATCACAGAATGTATATAAGCAAAATAAATCATTCTTAAGCTACTTAATGATATCATAGGCTTAACTGATCTCATGAGAAAGCAAGACGAACTCAATTTTGTAACCAGGTAATCAATATGATACTTCCAACACAGCCTATTATCAATATTTAGGCCTAAAAATTTAATACACTCTAAGTTAGTTGGTAAATTTTGATCAATATTATTATGCATATTATGATCCTCATAGTTCATTAAAGTGAAATGGAGAGTGTGGGTTTTATGAATATTTAATTTTAGCAGATTGGTTCTGAACCATGTATTAATATTGTAAAATTTTCTGGTCATGGCTGATTTGTAGTCAGCGTATTCCGGATTAGTCACCATTATACTTGTATCATCTGCGTATAAGAATATGTTTGTTCCATTAATTGAAACCTTAGTTATGTCATTTATATACAAGAGGAAAATAAGTGGGCCAAGAATTGAACCTTGGGGTACACCAAATTTTACTTCTGCCCAACTAGACGAGCTATTAATAGAACTGTTAGGGCCAAGGGTTACTCTTTGATATCTTCCATTCAGGTAAGATTTAATTAAGGCACCAAATTTGCCAGTTATTCCATAAAACTCTAATTTTTTGATAAGTATATCATGATTGATGCAATCAAAGGCTTTGTGTAAGTCGCAAAATATTCCTCCAACAAACTGTCTATTATTCATTGCTTTTAGTATTTCCTCTATTAATTTGAAAGATGCTTTCTCTGTAGATGAATTAGGTCTAAAACCATATTGATTATTGTCCAATATAAGATTATTGTCTATATGTTCATACAATTTATTATAGATAACCCTTTCAAGAACCTTAGAAAAGGCTGACAATAATGAAATAGGCCTATAGTTGGCTGGTTCATATTTATTACCACTTTTGAAAATTGGCTTAACGACAGCAAATTTCATTCTGTCTGGAAACGTTCCCTGGGCAAGGGATTGGTTACAAATGTAAGTTAGTGGCGAAGTTATATATGGCATACTTGCTTTTAAAATTCTAGTGGAAATTTCATCATAACCATGTGAAGACTTGGTTTTCAAAGATTTGATTATCTTTCTAATCTCAGCAGTTGAGACATACTGCCATTTGATAGATTTAAAGGTAGACGTGTATTTATTGTCCAGATAGTATAATGGGCTGATGTTGGTTGGAGTTTTGTTATTGTTTAAATCATCTATAATTGTCTGAGCTACTGAGGTAAAATATTCGTTAAGTACGTTTGCAATGCACTTTTTATTCTGTATCATAATGTTATTGACTTTCAGCGATTGGGGTTCATCTTTCTGAGTTTTAGATCCAGTCTCTTTTTTAATAATTGACCATGTAGTTTTTATTTTATTATAAGATTTTGAAATTTTATTATCATAGTTTACTTTCTTAGCCTCTTTAATAACTTTAGTAAGTACTTTACAGTATTTCTTATAATACAGTTTAAAATGTGGATCCTCATCTTGTCTATATTTAATAAACAACTTCCTCTTTTTTTCATAAGAAATTCGTATCCCTTGAGTCATCCACGGGTTACATTTAAGTTTGGAAGTAATAATTTTCTTTTTTGTAAAACATGAATAAAGAAATCTTAAGTAAGTAGTGAGAAATACATTAAAAGTATTGTTTACATTGTCATTTG